AAACCGGGGTGCTTATGCCTGCCATGATCACATTGTATAGAATTTGATATATATATATATATATATATGAGTTGGATGATATAAAATTCTATAAACTAAAATTCAAGCTGATTATTTTGTCTACTTACTCAATGAAAAATTTCTTTCTTTCTTCTTCAAGTCTGATTAGGGTGAAGTTAGGGAGACTGGAAGCCCAGTGAATGTTGATTTAGATATCGTGCTCATCAGTTGGATGAGGAGCTAGTCAGCCCCACTGTTTGTTGATGTGTATTTTGCTTCGAAGGGTGAGAGGTTGGATGAGGAGGTTCCGGTATGGGTCAACCAAATCTCTATAGATAATTCACCAAAGGATAGTAATGATTTGTGATTGTCAGCAAAACTATCTCTGATAGATTTGTTGTCTGAGTTGGTCACCACTCGTGGGGTGCATGCAAGAAAAAAATATGACCTCTTTTCAATTGCCAAAATATTTAAGTCTAGCAATGCTTCAGTGCTAGAAAGAAAATGAAGTGGTGGAGATGTAAGACCAAAACATGAATTTTGAGGAAGCGTCATGTAGCTAAAGGACTATGTCGTTGCTTTGTAAGAAAAAGCGAAGGTTGGTGACCAAAAGAAAATATGTTGAGATTTTCATACCTATTTTATACTAATATTGATGATATTGTACTTTAAAGAAAGATATTTTTGATGTTTTGTTGCAGGTATATTGAATTATGGTCATTAGAGCAAAAATATGTAAAAAGGAGCGAATTTAGAGCAAAAATGACCAAAATATGAAGATTTGAACTAGGGCGCCGACGACGAGTTTTTCCTGAGAGTCTATAATCAAATATTTTACAAGGCTGCCGACGGCGCCATCGAGGCCGCTGACGGCGAGCACGGCAGTTCTCTCAACAAATGCATTGAATGTGGACGATTTTTTAAGGGACGCTTGGGCAACTCTTAGAAAACTCTTCTATAACTTTAAGGGAAACATTTTGGGTGCCCCGTGTGTGTGTCCGCTGAGTCTTTGTTTTTTGTGAAGTCCATTAGAGTGTAGAGAGTTTAATTTAGGGTTAGTATTGTGAGGAATTCTTTGAGAGATTGTAAGAGTGGAAGGAAAGTGAGAGATTTCTTCCTCCTTGCCGCTTTGAAGGAGAATTTTGTGTGTTGTAAAGAAAGGAAGAGATTCAGAG